TATTACAGGCTTTTGTAAAAGTTGTCATAAGAAAGAATACAGTTCCACATTTTGGAGCCAAACTTTTCACTCCAACAAGGGTAGACAGTACCTTCCAAGGCCTGAATGGCAGCTCAATTTTACCCATATGCCCAGAGTCAGACCAATTAAATGTCTCCTCATTGTTAGGGACTCATTTTTGATTTGTGTAGAGATACTTCTTGGTTATTCTAAGTGGCCTCAGACAGTCCCTGACATCCTTCCCCAGGATTTGGAATCCCTGAATTTCTTCAGTCTGATATTAGTCTGGAGTTCACCTTCCAGATTTTTCAGACCATATCTAAAGCTTTTAATATACGTGGGAATTTTCACATCGTTTACCATCATAAGTCCTCAGGGAAGGTACAGTATATGAATTATCTTTAAAAGACAATCTCATTAAGATGTCACCAGAAATTCACCCTGACTTGGTGAAAGTATTGTTTCTAGCTCTTTTCATGCTCTGGACACTTCCCAAGCAAGCCCTTTCAATCCCACCATTTGAACTCATCTATGGGTGACTAGCTCTAACCTCTCGCCTCTGATCCAAGCTTTTACCTCTCCCTGATCACCTCCTCACTCCTTTATGCCATCACCAATGAAGTATCCTCTGGAATTTTGCTGACTACTCCTTACACCAGCCATGTGATAATCCATGCGTAAACCTCTATCCACTTTGGGGATCAGGTCCTTCTTTCCCCTCCATCCCAACAAACCTCACCCCTGTACAGTAAATGGAAGATACCCTTCAAGGAACTTCTTGTAACCCTGCACAGGTGATAAACTTGAGGGCTTTCCCCACTAGATACATCTCCATAGCCTGAAACCTTTAATCCTGCCCCAACCCAACAGAAATTCTTCTTCATACACAGTGAATCAAATAAGGCGCCAGACTCTTAAGTTCCAGAGGACATCAGAATAATTCCTTGTCACCAATTGCAAAAGAATGTGCTTTCCTGACACAACATTCAATCCCACTGAATTGTGAAGCTTTTAAGGTTTTTTTCTCCTTCCCAATTTCCTCTTCAAGTTCCCCTTTCCCTACTGACATATTCTGCTTCATAAGTTTCCCTCTGTTGACTCTAATACTATATTCAAATTTCTAATTAACTACCCAGCTAATTGTTAAAAGACCAACTTCAGCCATAGATTTGGAGGTACAAGGATTATGAAAATATACAAAAAATGTACTGGTAAGAAACCCTAATAGACCAGAGGTATAAACACCTCTGTGTCAAAAGGCCCTTCACTTTGTAAAAACAAACTTTAATATAAAAATCTATCATTGTAAAATGCCCTCAGCAAGTTATCACCCGTGTCTCCTCAATACTAAAGTAATAAAGGAAAGAAGTATTTTAAGATTTGTCTCAGGAGATCATAAAAATTCCTAATTGATAATGGTAAAAAAAAAAAGCATGATCCACATTGCTTTCTCTCACACTACTTCTTCTGCTATGGATATTGCTCTGTATAAATAAAATTCAGAATGGCCAGTAGCCAGGCAGGAAGTGTAGGCAGGATGAGCAGAGAAGAGAGTTCTGGGAACAGGGAGGCTGAGGCAGAGAAATGCTGCCAGCAGCCAGGAGTACAAGTGTGATGTAAGATACCAGTAAGCCATGAGCCACAGGGCAAAGTATAGAGTAATAACAATGGTAATTTAAGATATAAGAACAGATAGCAAGAAACCTGACATGGCCATACAGTTAATATACAATATGAGTCTCTGTGTGTTTACTTGGTTGGTTCTGAGCAACTGCAGAAATGGCAGGTGGGAAAGATATGTCCTGATAATGGGCAAGTCACACCAGGAAAACTCTAAACTCTATCTACATTCTCCACCCACTTCTCTCTCTCTCTCTCTCTCTCTCTCTCTCTCTCTCTCTCTCTCTCTCTCATAGAAGCAGAGTACTTAACATTATAAGATTATGGCTCACAGCTCAAGATTTTAAATTCCTTTTGGTTGCCTCATAATATGTTTAATATTTTATTCTTGGTAAACATAAAACTTCTTCCAAGCTCCACAGCCAGCTTGGATCCAACTGGACAGTCCAGATCCCCTTCAGATAAGTTTCATTCAAACTTTACTGATCATAGGATGTACCTCCCTCTTACTGGGGACCCTCGCAAGATAATTTTTTTTCTGAATTGCTTCATCTGACTCTCAAGCAACTTGTCAATTTCACAGGGCACAAACCAGAAGAAAATATTCCAATACATCTGATTGTCTAGCTACCTCTTGAAAAGCCACCTTCCCTACACCCAAAATTACTTAATGCCCAAAAAGTCAGCTGGAAGCAGTTCTCTGCAGCAAAGATCCCACATTCCTATTTATCTGTCACCCTTTACTCCCTACGTTTTCCTATAACTACAAGTGTAGTAGGTATGTGGCAATTCCTAGCCACCCCTAACTAAATAACTATGCATGCACTGTCCATCAGTCAGGCAGGATCCTCAGTCATCCCAGATCCTTGCATCCTATGTAATCCCTGTGCTAGATGAACATGGAATATGCTTGCAGCTTGATCAAGTAAATTATGTGGACATAGCTTCATAAGGCCACAAGCACATGCTCACGGGACCAACAACAGAAGATGCCACCAATTCCCTGGCCACCTTTTCCACACCATTTACTTCTAGTAAACCTATTGCACAATCTCTCTTTGCCCTTCCCAATTAACATTCTTTCAGTGGGGTTTAATGCACATTTTGTTTTCTCTCAAATGGTAAATAGCAATAAAATAAATAATAGATGTACTGAGAAAACTTCCAGCTGAATGGCCTAGATTCTATTTACAAGAAAGTCTTCATTCCTGTCTCGACTTTGGTGATTGTGACTGCCATCTGTCAAATGAATCTGGCTGCTATCTCTGTGATCTGTTTGTTTCAGAAACTTATGTGTGTTTTCTTATGTAGTAGAATT